CAATCAACTATCGGAAGAAAAACCCCCGACTCTATTAACCGGAAACAAATTATTAGATTCGGCAGATGGATAATCAATTAGTTTGCAGATATCGCACAATAATTCTCGTTTTTCTCCGGGATTTCCGAAAGAAAACCAATTTATGAAATGGCCATTGCAGCACCGGCAGCAATGGGAAACTGCGCCGAATTTCGACAGGTGCATGAGAATTTATGAGGCAAAATATTTTAAAAGGCATTCTAATCGAGCTTATTGGCTCTCCCGTAAATTATGATGCAATATATCGCAAAGTTTTGGTCCGAAAGGCGATTTTGCCTGCCGGCCCGCGCTCAAAATACATCAGTTGGGCAAGTGTCTGAAGGGCTTGAGTTTCCCCATTTATTTCATTGCTGTCTTTGATAAATAAAAACTCAATTCAAATACCGAGAGAAGTTAAAAAATGCAAATTTGGGAGTTCAACTTCCTTTAAAATGCCGCGACTATTCCATTTCCGCTCCACCAGCAGATACTTAAGGAAGTCTATTATTAATTGATTAGACTTAATTTCGTACCTTTCCCCGTCTACTTAAGGGATTACAGGGGCTTATTTCATCGGTGGATTATAAAAGTTTCTCGGAAAATCCGGCGAATTCATTAGGATGCCTTTTAAAACCTTACTTAACGTCCCCGGAAATATTTAAAGTGGCTCTAATTGGAAATGGGCAGTTGTTGCTTGGTGCCGACACTATGAAAATCCCCCTGGAATGAAGAGCGGAGAAACTCGCCTGCATGGAACTATTCAATATGCTATCAGTTACAAATAGTCTTCGGGGCTTATCGCTCAAACTTGGAGAAAACGCAATGATTTAGTATTGGAGTTCAGTTGCACTTTGCCGAGTTTATCCTGCAAGAAACTGGCGAACTGCGAATAACAAATGGCTCGTCTGATAAGGCGATTTCTCTGGAAGCAGATGGGAAAAACCAACATTAGTTACTCAACCTGCTAACTAACAATTATTTATTAAATCTTGCATTTTGGGTCTGAAGTTTCTTGTGTTGGTTGTCTCTAGTTACCTTTCAAGAGCATGGGCGTGGCAGGCATCTTCAGAGAGGGTTGCCTGAAGCAAAGAAACTTCTTCAATCCAGTGCTCCTCTAAAATGCCGAAAACTCGTCAGTTTCAAGCAATGGCCGCGAAAGAAACCGTTTGGAGCTTTAAGTTGAATCTGCGATCGATTGATCAGTTTAGTAGTTTAATGAGGCGCTCATTAGCCCAGCCAGATTCATGGCCTAGTTTCTCCAATCAAATCCGGCAGATATTCGGGAACAGAAACTCGGGAAGCTTAGGGAACCGCACACATTGGAAACTGCCAATACATATCGAAATGATGCTCAGATAATTGGTGTTGCAACAGATGCTTGTCCACTGGGCCAAGAAAACTGAACTGAAATGCGATATTTTCAGTTGGTCTAATTAATGAAAGAGAGTTTCATCAGGCGTTTCGTTTATATCTGCGGCAAGCATTCTGCAGGGCCCGAGAGCACCAGTTTACGTGACACTTTAAGTTGATGTTTTAGAGGATTTCTAATCTGGTTTCAACATTCGAGCCTTAAGTAGCCGTTTAAGTAGATGGAAGGGAGAATTATCCATTTATTTTGGGTAGAAAAGGTCTGAACTATCATCTACTGGATCGTTAGATAATAGTGAATCTCGCTGTGAATTTTTTCCGATGTAGGACATGTTTTGATGGAGAAACCGTTGATCAAAAACCATCAGAACTTTTTATTTGGTTGCTCCAACCAACTGATTTGTTTTGTTGAACTTTGTAAAATCTTATAAACTATATAAAATCTGGACTCCGAAATTAAAGCCGAGTTTAAAGATTGTTATCGATAATAAATTATGAAAGACATTTTTCTAGGGAAAAAACAATCTGCCAGATCGTGGGGTCTACATAGATTATGAGATGTTTAAAGAAAAAATATCTGGGGTGAACTGGAGCGAAATCGTTAGTTGTTTCTACTCCAATGAAGCGACTAATAAATTTATAAATGTTTTTGTTGATGTAGAAAAATCAGCTACAATAGTAAGTAAAATTAAGTTTAAAAAGAATAAAAAAATTAAAGATTGGATTAGAGATGGGTTGATCAATTCCATTAAACATAGAGATAAGTTAAAGAGAGCACTTTTAAGAAATTATACTTCTGCATTAGAAGCTAAATACAAACACTACAGAAACTTTTCAAATAAACTCTTAAAACAACAAAAATATCACTATTATAAAAATCAAATAGAAAACAACCAAAACAACCTAAAAAAAATATATAAAATAATTAATGATGCTACCAATCTTAACGATAACAAAAAATAAACAAATTTCTCCATAAATGACACCAATAACACCGCTTTTGACTAGAGGTCTTTGACTACCCTTTGAGGAATATTTCCAGATTTATTCAAAAAGTCCTTAATAGTTCCAGAACACAAATCAGGCTCGAAAAAGCTCATAGAAAATTAGAGACCAATTAGTTTAATTAATAAATTTGCAAAGCTGTTAGAAAAGTGTTTAAAGGACAGACTGGTCAACTTTTTTTAAACATTTAAAATCCTGCCGGACAAACAATTTGGGTTTGTTGAGAATTGCAGTACGGCTGATGCCATGTGCTTCCTGACATCTGAGATTATTAATAACCTGAATGGAAGCAGAAAATGCTTGGCTATTTTCCTGGACCTCTCAAAGGCCTTTGACACTGTTCCTCATGATCAATTGATTAGTTCTTTGAGACAATATGGTGT